ATAGTGCTTTGCAAACATCTGTTTACATGGAGCTGCATTATTGACCAACCCCAACCCTGATAAAATAAACTGTGCAGGGATTAAGATGTCAGACTTTCTAAGTCCTAAATACTGTATAGTAGAACCAGGAGTAAATAGTGTTTTTAGGCCAGGTCTTAATCAAGGAAATCATTAAATTCCATTATTAAATAAATGTCCAGAATAAACTAGAATCCAACAACAAAATCCTATGTGTCTCTTACCCTAAGGTGTTGTTGTTATCAATAACTTTGAGTACTTTTTAAGTAAAAAAGAGAATAAATAAAATTTATTTTATTTATTGCTGTTGTAGAACAGCAAGGATAGTGTTTCAGGGTCATTGCATTATACATGTTCACCACGTCATATCTGTAAACTTTTTATATTGTAAATAGCCTATAAAGAGCCAATGCCATAAGCTAGGTTTTCACATCTCTGGCATACAGAGTTACATGAAAAGATTATATTCAAAGTTCAAGATTAAGTCAAATATGCCTCATTAAATACATATATAAATAATCACTTGCTCTTGATGTTGCTGGGATCTGCTTCTGTAAGGAATGTATCTCTCAGCAGTCAATCGAGTCTGTGACAAAAGCTGTGATAATGTCAAAACAATGGCATGTGTTTCATGTCCACATCATGCAAAGGATGCATCTTGACCTCTAAGTATGTCAGTCAGGTATAGATTTGTCCTGTAATGTCATATTGTATTTGCATGAAATCATTATTTGCCCCCTCGTATTCCTGCCTGGCTCACCAGTCCTGTATGTGGGATTTAAATGTTAATTGGTGACTTTCCTGCACAGCTAATTGATGACAATTTCTTGTGATTGGTGAACATGGCAACATACTTGGCAAAGCATAATGGGATTACATGGTTTGTGGCTGAGGATACTGTGTGATAGTTTTACCTTCTACAGACTGGTTGGAGTCAGGCAACTTCCAAATTGGATAAAATGTAAATAGCGAGATGAGCAGAAAAAAAATTATAAACAAGTAAATAAATAAATACAGCTAAATATACTGCATAGCTCTTGTTTCTTGTGCTCTCTGCTTCATTACTAGGAAATTCAGAGTATTCTGGAAGGAAAATAGCGTAAAATGGTTTAAAGTTGCATGCAGTTCACCCCTGAATAATCAAGGGACTAAAATGCACTGATTTTAATCATATTGGTTTCCTGTAAAAAAAAAAAATCTATTCAGTATTTCCAGGATCCCCCTTTAAGATGTTCATTAATTCTATGCTTTGTAAAAAAAATACCAAACATTCTTCCTACCATAATAAAACATCTTGAAATGTGTCAATTAAAAAGAAATATTGTAACCTGAACCAAATAACAAAACCTTTGTTAATCTCTAAAGCATCAAGAGGAAAGGTTTTTCAGGGCAATACATTATATAACCTTTGAAATGAAAGATGATAAGAGGACCTATGACAAATCTTTAGAGTAAATGAGAATTAGCAGGATTCTGCACACTAACCAATCTTAGCATAGGGCAATTGTAACTCAAGCGTTATAAAGGAAAGGATGTAATAAAGCTGGATTTGTGGGGAAAACTATTGATTTATTTCATTTATACTCTATCCTTCCTCCAGAAAGGTGACTACTCAGAAGAAAAATGAAGCCCCCACCTATCCAAGCTTATAATTGAATTAAACATAGGTTCATTGAGTCATGCAGAAAATTAGCTCCAAAGACTGAAATGGGTATTGAATAATAGTCTTTATTGTTGCTTTTGGGTGGGGACAAAATCTAAACCTGTTACATATCCAAATGTTGCAAAACAAATGCAATAATAATTATTTTAAAGAATCAGTGTTTATGATGGTCTGTGTCTTGATTAAAGCATCCAGGGGGATTGTAGGAATGAGTATCTATAGTTTCTGTGCAGGCATATTTCTCTTCCTAGAGGACACCATGGCAACACTATACTCTCACCCACAAAAAAGGTTGTACCCCTAAACAAGGAGTAATGATAACAAGCTATTATTATTTTCAGTGAAGATGAACTGCTTTGGCTGATTTCCAACTTTTCCTTTTTCAGGGAAGCTTGCTGAGAAGGTAGTTGGAGTGCCATTACAGGCAACCCTGATGGAAATGGATGATGTGACTTTTTAAAGTCAGGATTCAGCCTGGATGTGGTACCAAACCAGCACTGATCATTCTTGTTGGTAATATTTGGAAGAAGTGGGATAGAATGAGTGTAGCTATTCTGGTTCCATTGGGCCTGGGAGTGCCCTTCAATATCAATGACCCTGGTATTTTCCTGGGCTAATAATGAGTTATAGGATTAGGAGGCACTGTTCTGCAGTGGTTCTCCTTTAGGTGGCCAGTTCCAGTTGTTATTGGTGGATGAGGAGAAATCAAGATTTGGCCACCAAAAGACTTAATCTTCTCTCCCTTATTGTTTCATTGCTCCATGAAGCAGAGAGGGTTTTTTATCAGCACAGAAAGTTAATATGCAGATATCTCCACTCTACTCAGACAAGAAATGAAGTGGAGATCATGACACAGTTTTTGGAGGCTGTGAGGATCAGAAGGGGGAAAACAGCTATAGATTGAATCCTACACAGAGATCATGTATTTGGATTGTGTGGCAATTGAGACCAGGATATATCATATTTGGCTCTAAATGGAATACATCTTTTCCAGACAAAACTGGACTGCGATTTGCTGGTCTCGCTGTTCATGGAGACTCTGGTGATGAAGGCTTTTGCACAACTACTTGTGCACAAGCTATTTCTTTTCCTGGACCGGGAAACTTTGCTTACAATCATTAATGCCCTTGTCAACCTCTACCCATCCATAAAATCTGAGGGAGGTTGCAGACTTCAACTCCCAGAGTTTTCCAACTAGCATAGCTTAGAGGTTTTAGTAAAGAAATAGTAAAGAGTAAAGAAGGGGTTTTTGTTTTGTTTTGTTTTAACTTCAGGAGTTTCTGGGCAATTTTATTTTATTTTTTATATCCTCATATTGGTCAGCAGGAGGAAGCACTGACTGCCTCATTGTATTCCCTTCTTGTTCTCAGCGTTCTGAAATCAGGAAGAGTGAAAGTAGTAAATTTCAAAATGTGTAGCTAGGATTGAGAAATGAAAACAGATACTGTGTGAACGCGTTCTACAGGTAGTCCTCAATTTACAACCACAATTGAGCCCAAAATTTCTGTTGTTAAGTGAGACATTTATTAAGTGAGATTTGCTCCATTTTTACAACCTTTCTTGCCAAAGTTACTAAATGATAATGATCATAATTGATAAGTTAGTAACCCGGTTGTTAAGTGAATCTTCTCCATTGATTCTAATTGTCAAAAGGTTGCAAAGGGGGATTATATGACCTTGGAACACAGCATTAGTCATAAGCATGAACCAATTGCCAAGCATCTGAATTTTGATCATGGGGGTGCCTCAAAGGTTGAAACTGTGGAAAATGGCCATAAGTCTCTTTTTTCAGTGCTGTTGTAATTTTGAACAGACACTAAACGAACTGTTGTAAGCCAAAGTCTACCCGTATTTGTTGATAGCTATAGCTACTAAGACTTCATTCTCATGGTTGAGTCTAAGGGCCTCCCAGTCTTTCATCCCACAATCAATTCTATCAGCATAATATTTGCTGAATTCTTGGTGCTCCTTATCCTGCCAGAAACTTGATGCCAGCAAATGGTGCATCCTTATTTACTGTGTACAGGATACAATTAAGAATGAGGATTGGTGGATATTCCCAGACTTGTTTCTCTCTCTTCTCCTCCCACCATGTATCACCAGATGATAGGAAAACCTCCAGCTGGGGCCAGGAGAAGAGGTTGGGGCACCGGCAGGTTTAGGCATCTGTCGAAAGGTGTTTTGGGTTTTTTTGGGTTTTGCACAAGTGTCACACATGTCTGCATTTAAAGACAAAACACTTCCACAAAACCAGAGCAAATTTTAACAGTTGGTTGAATCCATCCATCTAGCCATTTATTAAATCAGCCACAGCTCTCGGCAGCTAATTGTCAGATTTTTGTTAGAAACAGGCTAAGCTGTGCTTCGTAGCTGCTCAAGTAAGAGCTGAGTTGCACCTTCTTTACGTTGACAATGTACTCATAAGAAGTAGCTAGAGGACAAGCCATATGGTGCTTTATAACTTAGGCTAATAGTTTGAGCAGAACAGTAATCAATAAAGGATCTTGAAAGACAGATGCAATATGCTCACAATGATTTATGGATGTTAGCCAATGAGCCATTGCAGGTGTAATGGTTACCCATAAATCAGGGGGCTCCCACATCCGTCCAAGGATCAGATCAAAGGAGCTCAGGGAGAAATTCAATTGAACGGCATCTTAACCCTATAACCCAACTTAACATGAGGGCTCAAACCCCACTGCCTCAAGGGAAATGCCCATTGTAGCAAAATTGTTTTATGCACAAAAAGGGGGGGTGGATTCAACATTATGCACAATGGAGGAATGGTTGGCGAAAAGGATGGAACTTGCTGAAATGGATAAATTGACCTCTTTGATCAGAGACAAAACAATATTTATGTTTATTGCTCATGGGAAACCCCTTATAGACTTTTTGCATGAAAAATATGAATTTATGGTTTATGGTTTCGGAGATTAAAAAGGATGGATTATAGAAAGAAAAGAGTATGCGGTAATCGTAGAGTAAAAGGGAAATTTGTAATTATACTCATAACTGCTGTAAAGAAGATAGGAAGCTATTTCTTTGTATTATTTTCCTTTTCTATTTTTCTTCTACTTTTCCCTGTTTTGTACTTTTAGCGCTTTCTTTGACTCCCTCACCCCCCCCCCCACACACACACTTTTTCTTACTTTATGTCAGTTTGTAAAAAAATTTTACCTTCTTCTTTAAGCTGGGCCACTCTCTAGTAGCTGTGGTAGGGTCAGCACACAAGGAGGTGGGTGGTTTATCTGTGCAGAGAAGAGACCAAAGGGCAGGGTGTGACTCCTGCGTCATGCAGCATTGAAACTTTAATGCCTATTTTTTGCCCTCTCACTCTCCGAATACTTCCCTTTATTCTGTGTATTAATGCTCCTTTGAACAGAGGGGCAAAGTCTGGCCCGGAAACCATGTTCCAGGCGCAGGCACAAGCCTTTCTGTGGCTGTTTTCCTGATTCTGTGTGCTTCGCAGAGGGAAACCCTGTGTTTGTTCTATCAAACCACCTGTTACCACAACAATTCAGAAGGTAAGCTGCTTTATTAAATCCTACTCCACTTCCCTTTAGTTGATGGCCGAATGGCGCAGATTTCTCAAGTTCACTTGTTCATACGTAGAACCAAACCCAGCCTCAAAGCCTCAATAACCTTTAATGGATCTTGGCTAATCTTAGTTAAGCCAGGTTGCCTAGATTAGTAATTGGAAAGGAGACTACCTAGAAATTCCAGATTAGGAAATTTAAAAGAAAGTCAATGAGTCAACTGGAGGGTATCTTTTTCTTACGGTAATGTTATTCTTTACAATAATTTAAGAAGGGTGAAAAGTCTCAGATAGAAAGGAAAGACAAAATAACATGGGTGGTTATGGAAAGAGACACACCAGTGCTAGAAAGAACAAGGAAGAAGACTTTAAAGTTATTGCATAAAAAACAAATTCCTTGGTGGGTTGTTTTTTTTCTTTTGTCATATTAAAGGAAATGACTATCTTGTGATTTTTAAATTTTTAAATTTAACCTTAAACTATCCACTATTGACCTCACCCCATTCCTAAGAGGTCTGCAAGGGGCATAAGTGCACCATTGTCCCTACCATCCCTGTCCTATTGTCCCCATTTATTTGTACCGATTTCCTGTATTCTAACTCATGTTTATATTTATGCCTATTATCTTGTAAGCGATTGACAAATCAAATCAAATCAAATAAAAATAAATAATTTGGTAGGAATAGCAGGTTTTGCCTACAGGAAGCCCCGGAATCAGTCTCTGGAATCTCCAGTTAAAATCCAGGTTGTATGCCGGAAAGTTTGGCAACATGACATCATGGGGCCTGCTACCAGTCAGATTAATGATCACAATAGCAGAAATGTTTTCTAAAATGCAGGTCTTGAATATTTATTAATCCAATTTATATGGCTATCCATCTAGGAACTCTGGCTGGTAAACAAGACTGTATACTCAGAATTCAGAATGGAAGATCACTTCAGGTATAGGAATGGTGCTTATTGCGAGTAAGTCTATATTTTTAAATCTTTTTAATAGTTTTTTATTAGTTTATAATTAGCATACAAAGAAAATACAAAAGTAAATAGTTGGGGAAAGAGGGAAGGGAAAAGGGAAAGGAAAAGTGAGAGAAAGAAAAGGGGGAAAAGAAAAAAAAGACATGGACTTCCCTTTGGTGCAGTAGAATTGAGCATTAACATCAAACAGCAACTTTTTACTTTTACATAATTGTATGAATTAGCCATTTCTATAACAACAACTCTATTTAATCCGTAAAAAATCCAAAATCAACATTTCATTTTTTTTCTACCTCAAGCACAAAGTCAAGAAGCTGTTTCTAAATAGAAATAAAAGTATTTGTACATTTTGCCTTGATCAAAATAGTCAATTTAGCCGTCTCTGCTAACTCCCATCAGTTTCTGCAGCCATTCATCCATTGTGAGGTTTGAGGTGACCTTCCATTTCTGTGCATAAAGTACCGTATTCTTGTTTCCGTCAACATTAAAGTTCTGAATTTTTCCCCCAGGTCTTTTTCCGTTAAACCCAAAAGAAAAGTCTCTCGTTTTCTCTTTATATTAACTTTAAAAATTAAAATTTGAATCCTGATCCATATTTCTTTGTTTTATCACACGTCCACCCGGTGGTGGGATTCACATTTTTTTTACTACCGGTTCTGTGGCCGTGGCTTGGTGGGCGTGGCAGGGGAAGGATTCTGTAAAATCTCCAGTCAGAGGTGGTATTTGCTGGTTCTCCGAACTACTCAAAATTTCCACTACCAGTTCTCCAGAACTGATCAGAACCTGCTGAATACCACCATAAATGATGAAATGTCCCTTCTTTTCCATTCATTTGAAATGCCTGTATACATTCTTGACAACTGATCTGGAGTTAAATACCAGAAATATATCATCTTACATAAATTTTCTCTTTTAGTCATTGTTTAATGTAAATTTTAAAACTTTATTCCTATATATTTCAGTCTTATTGAGAATTTGCCACAAAAAACTAGTCTGTAGTATAGACACAGATTCTAGAAAGACTTTGTCAAAAGTCTTTATCAAAAAGATTTGGATTTTTTTTTATTACAGACATTTTAAAATGAGATTTAGCTCACACTGCATCTCAAAGAGCAGATCATTTCATTTTGTCTAGAATCACGAATTAAGTGAATAGTAGACCTTTTAAAAATTAAATTCATGTGCCTTGTTTTTTTTTCCTCCACAGTGACACTGGAACTGATTTCAGCAGAGCCAACAGCATGTCCAGGCCAAGTGGCAAAGCCATTTACCGTAAGGCCTGCTCTCCTCTTTCCAGATCATTCAAATGGAATTATATCCTAGGGCCTAAAATAACTTTTTTTTTAAATCAGAGGAGCAAAAATGTAGTTGTAGCTACCATTTGTACATTGTCTATTTTCTTACATAGCAGTATAATTCTTTTATGTCAAGAAATAGCCTTGAGAGAACCAGATGATGAAGATGATGATGATGATGACGACGACTATCATATTGTCAACCAGATGTTTAGACTGGATCTAATATTTTTATCCCCCTATCAAGTCCTTCCCTAGGACCTGGGATAGGCAGATATTGTTTGATGTGTTAAAGGTATTGTCACAGGATGTAAGCTGTTCCAAGGAAAGTCGCCTTTTGCAATTGACTAAGGATGATTTGTCAATGCTGATAGTTTTCATGTCTTGCCCCAGATATTTTTGGAATAGCACCGAGGCTTCTATTGCTATCTTTGCTTTCTTTTGCCTCTGTTGTTCCACTTCTATTTGCAGATCTTTGTATGTCGTGATTTTTTTCCAGTTCTTTCTCTTCTCTTCTGCTATCTCCAGGTACTGCAATATCCACTATCCAGATTATTTTTTAATGAACAATTGTTAGGTTTGGTGTTATATGGCAGGTACTTGTCTGCTTGAATTCTAAAATCCCAGAACATGTATTCATCTTAACAGATAACAGATAATCAGAGTTGGAAGGGACCTTGTAGGTCATCTAGTCCAACCCCCCGCCCAAGCGGGAGACCCTACACCATTTCTGACAAATGGCAGTCCAATCTCTTCTTGAAAGTCTCAAGTGATGGCGCTCCCACAACTTCTGAAGGCAAGCTGTTCCATTGGTTGATTGTTCTCACTGTCAGAAAGTTTCTCCTTATTTCCAGGTTAAATCTCTCCTTGTTCAGTTTCCATGCATTATTCCTTGTCTGGCCTTCAGGTGCTTTAGAAAATAGCTTGACCCCTTCCTCTCTGTGGCAGCCCCTCAAATATTGGAAGACGGCTATCATATCTCCCCTGGTCCTTCTCTTTACTAGATTAGCCATGCCTAGTTCCTGTAACCGTTTGTTATATGTTTTAGCCTCCAGTCCCTTAATCGTCCTGGTTGCTCTTCTCTGTACTTTTTCTAGAGTCTCAACATCTTTTTTATAATGTGGTGAACAAAACTGGATGTAGTACTGTAGGTGTGGTCTTACTAAGGCTTTATAGAGTGGTATTAGTACTTCCCTTGATGTTTTTTTTAAAAAAAATTTATTTGGGTTTTCACAAAAACAAAATACAAATAAAACATCTTTTTTTGAAAATAGCATGGTCCCAGGTTATCACTTCTTCATACAGACACAAACTCAATTTCATGCTCATTTTTATGTTCTATTCCATATCTTATTACTACATAGTTTTCCCCCTCTTTTAATTTTCTCAACTGTATTTTAATTATCTCATCTCAATTCAAATCATTATATTTATACTTTTGTCTGTCCTGTTGCAATTTCATATTATCTTTTCTCATTAAACAAATTTTCGTCTGTAGTTACTAATTGGAGTATGACACCTTTATATCTTTTAATTTTATCCATCCAAACTCTTATTTAAGCTTCAATGTATACCTTTAAGATTATAGCATTCAATACAATACATAACTTCCAATCGAATTCTGCTTGGTACATTCTTAAAATACACACTATATTCTTAAAAAGAAAAGATTATATATATGTAAATAAATCACACATTCCATTCTAATTCAATTCTATCATTAATATTCATTAAAATCTTAACATCTTTAACTTTTCTTTTCAATTAAATATTGGGAACACTTATGAACTTTCCATAATTAATTCTTTTTTTCCATATTTCTCACATTTTTATAAATCAGTAATAATAATTAAAATGTTCCCATCCTTTCCTAATTTAATTATCTCATTCACTTTAATTCATTCATTTATTAACAAACATTCCACTACATTACAGTGAATATTTTATCCATCATTTTAGTCAAGATGGCTTCTTCTTTGTCCCGATCTTTTTCTGCAAGCGTTTCTTATTGTTTCTCGTAGTTCCAGATCTCCATTTCTAAGAATTGAAATACGAAACCAAAAGAACCTCTCCCTTCTTGTGCATCTTCTTTCCATTTTTTAAGTTCCATTTTCAGTTCTTCTAAGAGTGATGCCATTTTAAACACTTTTTAACAACCACCTGATTAATTTTAGTCATTTAGATGCAAAAACCAAAAATCACCAAGTAATCCAAATAATCCAAGGCTGTTTCTTCTTGCTTCTTTTTTCCACTTTCTCTTCCCGGGGTTCTATTATTTTGTTGCCAAGTTTCAGTTAGGATGAATCTTTGGGGAATCTTGTTAAAGTTTCACTGTAAGTTCCTTTTAGTTACAGTTCCATTCCTTAGTTCCAGGCAGTGTCCTCCATTTTTCCAGATCCTACCCTTGTATTCTTTTTTTTCTCCTTTCCTGCTTTTAAAAACTTTTAAATATCCAGAAATCTTTATTATCCCTTTGACTTTTATTTTCAGCTTAAATGCCTATTAATGTCAAAGTGGATTTTTTTTCCAATTTCTTGCTTAAGTCTCTTAGCTGTCAGTATATGAAAGGGAAGAAAAAAACCCTCATCCTTTCCCTTTTTTCTCTCTTTCGCTGCTTTGAAATCTTCTTTGAGAACAATGGTATTTAGTTTAAATTCCAGGGTACCTTACGTTGTTGCTTTTTCAGTTTAACCTGGTTGACCAAATTTTTCTCTTCTTATCTTCCTCCTGCACATTCTTTTCTGGTTCAGTTCTTCTTTGAGGTGGCCATTTCTGCTGCAACTGCCTTCAGGAAAGGGAGTAATGGCCAGCTGGGGAGGAGAGATGCGGCTCTTCTCAACCCTGCTGGCAGTCTCCCCCCTCTTCACCACCTCTATGGGGTGGCTTAGCCCCGAAACCAGCCAGCTCGGGGTGCTCTGGCGGCGAGCACAGATCGAAACTGCACACAATCACAGATTTCGGTCTGTCGCCGAAGAGACTCAAACCAGAAGCCTCAATACTTCCCTTGATCTTGATTGTATCCCTCTGTTAATACAACTCAGGATTGCATTAGCTTTTTTAGCTGCTGCTGCACACTGCTGGTTCATATTTAGCTGGTTGTCCACTAAAACTCCAAGATCCCTCTCACAGTTACTGCTATTGAGCCTGGTTTCACCCAGTCTATATGTGTACTTTTGGTTTTTCTTGCCTAAGTGTAGGACTTTACTTTTCTCTACATTGAATTTCATTTTGTTAGAAACGACCCAGTGTTCTAGTCTGTCAAGATCCATCTGGATCTTGAGCCTATCTTCTTGGGTGTTAGCTATTCCTGCCAGCTTAGTATCATCTGCAAATTTGGTAAGTTCCCCTTCTATTCCCTCATCTAAGTCGTTAGTGAAGATATTGAAGAGTACTGGGCCTAAGACAGAACTTTGTGGCACCCCACTGCTTACTTCCCTCCATGTAGCCTTAGACCCATTAAGGACTACTCATTGAGTATGGTTTGCCAGCCAGTTGCAAGTCCATCTAGTGGTGCTATCTATTCCACTTTTTTCTAGCTTACTAAGTAGTAGGTTGTGGTCTACTTTGTCGAATGCCTTGCTGAAATCTAAATATATTACGTCCACAGTATTTTACTGGTCTGCTAATTTAGTCACTGTGTTGAAGAATGAAATAAGATTGGTTTGGCATGATCTGTTCTTAACAAACCTGTGTTAACTGCTATTGGCAGATCTGTTTTTTATTATCTTTTCCAGTATCTTCCCGGGTATTGATGTTAGGCTGATTGGTCTATAGTTTCCTGGGTCTGTTTTTTTCCCTTTTTTGAAGAGGGAACCACATCAGTTCTCTTCCAGTCCCTCTGGTAGTCTTATACTACTTTATCTTTTTTATGGTCCCACCAGTTCTTGCTTGCTGGCAAATGGTATTTCTTCAAGATATTCCAAAGCATCATTGTTGTTACTTGGTTGTGCCATTGTCTGTAGTCAGTCTGTGTGATCTCCTTGCAGCAGCTAACCAGGTGGCCCACTATTTCTTTAGCTTCTTTGCAGAAGCAGTATTTGCTGTCTGTTGCTGTCTTCACAATTTTGCCTTTATATGCCTATGTTCTTCAGGGTTGGTCTTTATAGCCAGAATTAGCCCCTCTGTCTTTCTTCAACTTTCCTGCTCTTAGCCATTGTCAGGTCTTGTTATCTGCTTTGTCTGCTATTTTTAATAACACTTTGCCTTGCTGTGCCTCTTTTCTATTCTTTATTTGGCCTTTCTTATAGATCAGTTTTATCTATCCAGTACACAGCAAGCCTTCATTATATGCTAGCTTCAGTGCATCATCTTCACTGTCCATCAGATATTCCTCCAATGCTCTCTTTTATTTCTTCAACCCTCTGATACCATCTGGGAACACGTGGTAAATAAAATCTGTCAATGTTGCTTCATGGATGAAGGGCATGATTCATTGTCATTATTTTTCTGGCATGCTATCTCAGAGCCAGTCAGAGGTGGTATTTGCCGGTTCTCTGAACTACTTAAAATTTCTGCTATCGGTTCTCCAGAATTGGTCAGAACCTGCTGATTACTATCTCTGCGTGGTATCCACTACAAACTGTGATCGGATTGTCATCCGGATGAATTGGAGTTGAATTCTGCCTTTTTCCCTCCCTCACAGGTCAGAGAAAAGAGTACAGTAGTGCTATAATGAAGGCTGATCATGACTTCCGGCATCGGGTGGAGGTAGGAAAAACCTTTGGACGCCCAGGAAGGTCCCTGACATTCTGCTTAGTTGCAGAAGATGAGTGCGTTTTACATAAGCCTCATCCATTGCTCAGTGAAAGAAGTTTGGGTCCATTTGTGCTGATCTTCTTGAAGAGGAGATTATCTGGTCATTGCTTCAAAATGCTCTGATTCTGGACTTCCTGCGTTGCATGTAGAGTTAAATATGATGCTTGACAAGATTTTGTCTTATTCCATAACCCTGTGTTTTCCATGCAGGCTGACTTTTTCTTTACCAGTTCTCTGGTCTTAACCTCTTAAAGGCATTCAAATGATTTTATAGAATGGGGAAGAACAGAATCTCAGCATTAAATAACATCCTTAACTTTTGCATTTTTAATTTACCATTCATTCATATTAGTAAGTTTACAATTTCATTATACAGGAAGTCTTCAACTTGCAATCACAATTGAGACAGAAACTTATGTTGCTAAATGAGGCAGTCGTTAAATGACTTGGGCCCTATTTTATGACCTTTTAGGCCACAGTCATTAAGCAAATCAAAATGGTTGTTAAGTAAATCATGTGGTTGTAAAATGAATCCATTGTTCCCCATTTACTTTGCCTGTTGGAAGTCCGCTGGGAATGTTGTGAATGGTGATCATGTGATCCCAGGACACTGCAACTTTTGTAAATACATGGTGATCACCAAGCAGCCAAATTTTGATCATGTGACTGCAAGGACGCTGCAATGATCATAATTGTGAAAACTGACTCTAAGTCACTTTCTTGAGTCCTATCGTAACTTCAGTTACCAAACAAATAGTTGGAAGTAGAGGACCACCTGTATACTCAAAGGTTGCCTTCATATCACCAGATGAATGAAAATAAATTAGGGCAAAACTATTATTGTCTGTATTCATACAGCATGCTTAATTTGATGGCTGAACTCTATTTTCTTTGAATAATGTACTGAATCCCAAACTAACCAAACATCCTTGGTTTTCACACCATGCTATTCAATCTTAAACCCACCCCTATCTGTGCTTCATGTGGAATGAATGCAGCTACATGTAATTAGCCTGGCTAAGCATGTTGCATACGTACAATCACAGGTGGGAACTCACTTCTGATACACATTTGTCTGAATATCTACAAAAGATCATTGGGGCCTAGTCTTTTGACAGAAAGATATTCTGAATTTCAGCATTAGAAGCCTCTATCTTTTGAGTGATTAATATTTAACTGAATTTTAATAAGATAAACTTAGAAGTGTTTTCCTGTAGATGGAATATTAATTTCCCTATCTTTAATGTTTAATCTTTTTTCATTCTTTCTTACAGTAATATAACAACTCTAAATTACTTACAAATATTAAACAGTTATGTAATCAGTGATTGTCTACATAGTTAAATGAGTTATACTTTTCCTCTGTTGAACAAAATTCCCACCATAAATTAATCATTTGAAAAATGTTGCTGTTTATTATACTGAAGCAATTAAAGTTAATAGCATATGCTCTATATGCAGCGCAGATGGCCCTTCCTTACAGTACTTCCTAGTGCCTCTTATACACTGATCCTTTCACAACAGTTACCTGTAGATTCAGATTATGCATTAAAGAACCAAAGTCCATATTTGATCCACAGCACCTTTTGACTTGTACTATTGATGGCAAAGAAATCAACAATGTAGAGAATTGTATTGAACGACTCAAAATGATGGATGCCCAAAGCCAAGTGTGGGGCCAAGACATGCTTTTGCAGATCAAGGAGAACAAATTGCTGCTGACGGACATAGAGGCTGAGGTAAACAGAGCTTCTATACATTTTCTTTCACACCCAATTTGCACTGCAATATTTTCTTACAAGCTGGGATGGGTACCTGGGACATCTGAGACTAAATATCTGAACAGTAGCCATGATATTTCTATTAAATAAGACTTTTAAAATTCCAAGGAATGGCAAAGAACTACTGTATACTCATGTTCCTCATGGATTGTTGGCATAGAAAGTTGTGTCCTTTTCTTTGGTCCTGGAAGGCGGCAAAATGGTCTTTTCTGCTACATCCTACATGTTTGTTTGTTTGTTTGTTTGTTTTGCCTACAGGAAGAGCTGGATTGCTATCCCTTGGAAGATATCCACGATTGGGTCTCCATCCTTAACCGTTGTATTTACAACTCCATCTTGGCCATTTCTGTGAAAGATCCGAACCAGCAGAAAATTAGTATCTTGCTCTTTCAATGCGAGCAAATTGGGGTAACTACAGCATGTCTTTAATTTGGAGGGGTCAGATTTGAAGGTGACCTAGAAACAAACTGCAGGTTCCTCTGAAATCCATAGCCACATGTAATATATCTGAAATTGACACCTTTGTTTAAAATATAGCAGTCCTAGAAAATCTTATTTGGATCTATGGCAATAGGAGAGTTAGGAAATTTCTGCCCTCTGGCAGCAAGACACTGATTGTTAGATTTTAATAAACATGTGGGAAACCTTCCATAGTCCAAATCCTATGGCATTCTCTCTTCCTACTGTTTAATATAAGGTAAATAGTAAAAAGAAATTTGTTCCTTATTATCTTATAGGAGTGGGAAATAATTTGCTCGGGTATGAGTCCTACATCCCACATAATTATCAAAAGGTTATCCAAAGGAAACACTTTGTAGTACTTCTATTGTCATAGGATAGTACAAAATAAGAGAATAATAGAGTTGGATGAAACCTTGGAGATCTTCAAGTTCAACCCTCTGCTCATTTCTGTAAAAGAAATAGTGTAGGAAAACATTCACACACATGGTTGTCCAATCTCTACTTAAAAACTTTCAGTTGTGAATCTTCCACAACTTCTGAAGGCAAGTGGTTCCACTGGTTAATTGTTCTGTCAGGAAACATATCCTTAGTTCTAGGTTGCTCTTCTCCTTGATTAGCTTCCATCTATTTCTTCTTTCAGGCACTTTGAAGAATAGCTTGATAGCTTGACTCCCTCTTCTTTGTGGCAATCCCTTAGTTACTGTAGCACTGCTATCATGTCTCCCATAATCCTTTCTTTCATTAAACTAGACATACCCAATTCTAGCAACCTTTCTTTATATGTTTTAGCCTCCAGTCTCCTAACCATCTTTGTTGCTCTTATCTGTACATTTTCTAGAGTCTCAGCATCTTTTTTACAATCACAGTGGCGCAGAACAATTTGTATCAGACAATAACAGTAGTCATTCCAGTTTAAAGTAGGTCTAAATCCAGAGAGAGCTGAAAACTGCTTCTTTCTTTTAGGCTGACTTGTTGAAAACTAAAATACAGAAAGCTATGGAGGAATGGAGAACTGAACGTCAGACTCATGATATGCTCAGGTAACGGAAAAGTTGTACATCTGCAATATTAACTTTTGATTGCAGATGCTTTATTGCCTACCTCAAGACATGATGATGATGATGATGATGATGATGATGATGATGTAGGTTTATTATTATAATTTAGAGTGAACTTGGAGAACATGTTGAATCAGCAAAACAGAGCATCTTACATTGGCAACAGCAAACGAATTCCTCATGATTCTCCTTGGGATATGGAGTCACGTTACATGGAATTCAATGGTAAGTGTATAATTCCTTTCTGCTGGAATGTTGCCTATTAATGGAAAACATGCATGCTAAATAAAGTAAAAGGATGGAAGGAGGTGTGTATTGTCATAATGTTCTATATTAACATTCTCCAAATCCTGAATTCTGATTGGTCCACGCAGACCACAACCCGATTGGTCAACTAAACTTCTGTGATTGGTGCGCTAAAAATCTACTGCGATTGGCCAAGCCGATTGCGGGAAATTCAAAGCGCTATCATTGGCCGCCGAGCGGCTCGCAGGTCCTGGACAGAACTGTATATTCAATAAAGAGCTGACTGTTCACTTTGGTCTCACGTCTCAATGAGCCCGATCTACCCAATCTAACACATAATATACAGCATATGGAAATATGACCAAAGGAGAGAATTAGATTATTTACATGGGATAGATGTAAAATAGGCTTGAAGTATTCTTGGACTGTTTCCAATTTTGGATGCTCTGAATGGCAAATACAGTAGAATTGTAGTCTACTGCTTCAAGTTTAGGAACTCCTACTGAACAATAGGCCATTTGCTTGTAATTTTCCTCAATATTCTATCTTATCTCCCACTGCTTTTCAATATATGCATGGAATTATTGGGATAAATGTTCTGGAAAGATCAGATTTAGTGTCACCAGTAAATTGATAGCTTTCAGTAATGTGTTTCCTTTAAAAAAAAATAAATCAGGGAAGCAGTGGAAATCCATTGTCAGTGATAGGTAAGATAAGGACAATCAGATTCAAGCTTAATGCAGAAATAGATGCTTCTATTCAGGCAAAAAGCAAGTCAGAGAATGGAAATTTAGATAGAAAAATTTTCAAGAGTGAAATCTGGATATGTTTCTAGATTGAGCCTAGGATCTAAAAGCCGAGATTTAGTAGGAATTGATTTTCACAGCTTCTATTATAAGACATCCAGGGTTAAGTGATATCCATTCATTATGTGATAACAGCTATGTCTTTTACCACTTAGTATCTTTTTTAGAAGCAACGGGGGTACACATATTTGGGGCAAGGAATTAAAATGGAAAATCAGCTGGGGCATTATTGACACATTGTAGACACATTGATTATTGAATATTGTAGAAGCTGAACAGCAATTTGACCGGCAGCAGAAGTATGAAACACATGAAGAAGATCTTAAACTCTCCTCGAAGTCACAGGATAAATATATGGAAATTGTAAGTACTCCATCATTTCTTGGATACCATCTCTCTGCTGGCCCCACACTACAGCCCATTTCCCTGTCCTGTCTCTAGAGGGTAGGAACTGAAGAGCAGGACATTGTTATCTAAACAGGTAGGGCAAGAAAACTGCATAGTTTGGAAAGTGTGTAAGAGAAGATATTTCCCAATTTATTTGGGATTAGAAATCCACAACTCCTTAGGTTAACCATATTGCCTGGAGAGTGTATGAATTTTAGTTCGACCCCAATTAGAAATCTCCCATTTGAGGATAGGAACTATTGTTGTTGGTTCAAAGTCTGTATTTAAATGTTTTGATGAACAGAGATTCTAATCGTGAAGCACAACTTCTAAGATAGTGTGACAAGAGATTCTAGAAATTGTCTAGAAAGATAGTAAAGAACTATAGTAGAGGAAGATGTTTAGTTAGAAGCCCGGATTACAAGCCAGAATAAGAGGTACCTTGATCTGGAAATCAATAACATTTAAATGAGAGAAGATATCTCTATATAGCTAATTAATTTCACTTCTTGATTAGGTTCCCCCCCCCCATATCTAGACAAGGAACCAAGTAAAGTAAATTAAGCCATCATCAAATTGAAAGCATGACCTAAATGCTAAATCTCTGAATGGCAGGAAAAATGTACACTGTTAGTGGTTTTCCCCAAAAAAACTGTCAATAATACAGTATTTGATTTGGATTCTTGTTGCGAGCAGGAGATCCTGAACCATGTCCTGGATGATATAGAATTCTTTGCAAGAAAAGTACAAAAGAACGGCACCCTGAGTGACAAGAAGAAAAAGAAAAAGAAAAAAGGAAAGGAAAGTGATAACAATCAAGGTAACACCACCAAACTAGCAGCAAGTAGGCAACTGTAAATTTCTAAATTTCCATGGCCTTATGGAAAATAGAGGTGGCGGGGGACACATAAACTGATTCTAATCCAAACTTTCTTTGACTGAAGTCTTTGAACTGAAGCTTTGGGCAGCTTTAAGAAACAGTCTCTTTTCAGAGTATTCTGAACAAGACAGAAATGACACAAAGGAACAAACAAGCAATATGAGACATGCTACAAACTCTTTACTCTGAAGTTCCCAATGGGCATTGGACATTTGAATCGGATATGCATTTTGTCAGGAACAATTCTACTGCTAATCATTTTACTGAATTACCTAACTCCTAGGACATTACAATCCTAGAAATTCAGTTCCTCCCTTAATCATAGATTTTGCCTCATCCATCCATCCATTCATCCATCCATCCATTCATTTACTCATGGCTTGATTTTCTATCACAATCTCAAACTCTTTGCCTGGTAAATCCTAGTCATCTCACATTAGAGAAGGTTTAATTTAAGAGCCAACATAGATGTGTGTTTGCCTACAGTGAAATTCATGTCCTCTATGATCACCAGTTCTCTCTATTTTTGATATATCCTTCTGGAGCTATATACAGCCTGTTTGGTTTTTCAGTTTCTTGAATATTATTGTATAATCTGTGATCACTTTTCTGTTTGTATCCCATCATCACTGAAGATTTCCTAGTTCACTTATAAGACATTGGTGTTCCATTGACTGTTCACCAATCCTCTATTATGGAGACACATTTTAATAATAAGTTCTATTTTTGTTAGATCATCAATTTCACATTTAAATAGATTGTGTTCTAGATCCATACAATTTATTATATGATTTTATTGAAAATTTTAAACAAGCACATTGGAATTTTATAATTATATCCTATCTAATTTCCAAAACCATAAACATAAGTGCATTTTTCATCGAAAGGTCCACAAAGAATATCCAGATTATAACATAGTGCCTAGCTCTATACAATTTAAATCCTATGACTTTGTTTCTCTCAATGCTGGAATGGCACATCTCAGGTTTTCATATAGTTTTCTTGAGTATGAAAAGTGTGCTTTATATATTTCATTGATCTCATCCCTGGCAAATCTTCAAATTTAGACTGTCTTTTAACTAAGCAAGAAAATTGGAATTAAATCAGTTTAGTTAACATTATGTTCTGATTATTTTGATGTAACTGGATGCAAATGTGTTTGTTCCCCGCATCCCACCCACCCTGTGTATGTTTGTGTGTGTGTGTGTGTGTGTGTGCATGTGTAAAACATTCAGGTCTGATAGTGTGCAACCACTATCAGACCTGAATCTCCTGCTTGTGCAGATACCTGTCTATAACCTTATTTTCTTTTATCTTCTGGATTAGTTTTCTAATGTTTCTCTCTGGTTCAGCAGCATCGCCCTCAGAATCTGAGTTTAGAGACTGCTTCCAGAAGGTCAAGTACAGTTTCAATTTGCTGGTAGGTTTTGCAACTTGTTTGACCTTGGCAGAGATTTCTCTATTGCCAATACAGTTGGGTACATTTCTTATGAAAAGCACTCTTTGTGAATTCCGCAACGCAAAATATCTAGGGCAGCAGCACAAAGAACTCCATTCTGTTTAGTTCTAGCTGTTTATTGCCACTGTGGAATTAATTTAGGAGTATTGTAACCAATTGTAAAATTATGGTTAATCAGATAAGAAATTAGGAAACTAGAGGACTGTAAATTCAGCAAATGTAATTGTATGGAGTATCTAACTGTACTGTATATGCTTGTTGGTATTTAATCCAGCTTTTCAGATGAGAATGGTTTCCCAAAGAAAGTCTCAATTAAATCGTAATTACAATTCTATGCACATTTATGCTTTCAAGCATGATGCACAAATGATACACAACTGACTTTATCTTTGCTGGCTGAGGAACTCTGGGAGTTGAAGCCCACAAGTCTTAAAGTTGCCAAGGTTGGAGACCCCTGGTCCAGACTGTAATTTGGAACAGATCCTTTTCTCATCTCCCAACGTGAATCACTAGAATTATTCCCCAGTGGAAACAACTGGAACAATCTGGACTGGGATCATTTGGGGGAAGAGTAAAGGCTCCTAAACATTATTTTCAACCTTTCCTATGATCCATAAACAGATCAATCCCCCTGTCTCTTATTTACTGTAAAAAGCCACTCATTAAATTATTTTTCTGATGATATTTTTTACCTTCTTTAGTTTGATCTTAAGACCCCAAATGTGATCAGATCTTTATCTCCTGCCATTTTCTCCTATTTCTTTATTTCATAACTACCACAGTTGTGTTTTTCCACAAGGCTGGGGCATCAATATTCTTTCCTGTTTTGTTTGTTCACATCTGAATTATCCCATTCTACCTGTTTCTTTTTTATCTCATAGGCAACTAAAATGGCTGGATGTAAAAATCTGATCCCAAGAAACGAACAGAAGGGAGAGGGATAAGATTCCCTCTTTTTTTGTTCATCTGTACAGTATTATGTTTCTACTACTTAAAAAAACGGAAGGAGAAAAATTACTGATAATAATACCATGGCTAGAGCTGTGTCATAAACTAGACTTAACCTGAGATTATTTTAATTTGTTGTCCAAATCTAGCTGGAACACTTTATTAACGGTTCAGTATGTTGGGCAAGAATTAAAATTAATTTGATAGCCATTTTGCAGTGTAATTATGGGTCAGTAATATGTTGTGCAACACAACCTTTGTGTTAAGTGAGCTTCCTGAACAGTAAAGAAAGGCGAGTGGTGGAAAAAGGGCTGAAGAATAGAGAACGAGATGAGCAACGCTTGAAACAGCATTTTCTTCTAGTGGATGGGAAGTTCGTTTTTCTTTGCTGATGGCCTTGCTAGAAAGAGAGGAAAGAAACAGTCCCCAGTGGCTCTTGGTTCCCTGGACCAACATCTGGTATTGCTTCCCAACTAATAATTGAAATTGTGTTATTGATGATGGGGAAAGGAGACCAAGTTCTCAGTAGTTACTCACTAGCTGGAGTTGCAATTTATATTACCCGTTTTGTTTTGTTTTTTGCTTACTGATGGTTTGTTAAATGTGATTTGTAATTTGTAATTTACACAAGGATGCAACAAACCCTGATGTATAACATATGTTCATACTGCTTGTTAAACCACAGTTCTCAACCAAGGATCGTGTGATTTCCCCTGGGCGCCCTAGGATATTTTAAGAAGGCCACGGATGAAAAACGTGTAATGGGGTGGCACGGTATGGGCTGGTGGGACCGTTGTAGGTTCCTTGCCCAGATTCTAATGAAACCAAGCCCACCTTCCTTCTCCATTCTTGCACCCTCCTAATGGTTGGCATCAAGGTTCCCAGTATTGCTAATCTTGAAGCACAAAAATAACTCTATAACCTGATGTGGTCTAGTTAATGGTTTACTTCCCTCCTTCTTCAATCTGTGAATTTGTTTTTCTAAACTGTAGAAATAATAATATATATTTTTTTTTGCAGGGGGACCTTGATCAAACCATACAACAGCCAAGTGCTCCTGAATTGACCAAACTCATCTTCTCCACTCTAAGAACTGTGAGTATAGCAGCCAGGCGAGAAATTCCAGAGGTTTCTGGCGACTGTCTTCTTTTTTAAAAAAAGATTCATTTGTAAATAGAGTGCATTTTCGTTATACAGTTTTTATTGAAAGTTTTTATCATTAAAAGATAAACAAGAAAAATATATAAAAGGAAAGTGGAAAAAATAAAAGAAAATGCTAGAAACAGTACAGATAAAGAAAAGAGAGGGGAAGGAAAATTTAAGAAGCAGCCTCCAATTTCCTTTGCAGCAATCGAAAACCATTTTTACCACTTCTTCCCCTTTTGCATAATATAGTTTCCTTCTTCCCATATTCAGCTTTTTAGTCAAGAGATCCAGAGATCAAAAGTTCATTTTTGTCCATTGTCAGCAAAAAGTCCATAAAAAGTTTTCAATCTTTCGTAAGCATATAGCATCGGGCTGCAGTTACCATGAGAGAGAGGTTTTTTTTTCCTAATTCAATTAGGTATCCCAGATTTCTGATAGGTGTTTTCCATGCTCCAGCAATCATATTTTCTAATATTCAGGTTCAAAGTGCAAGTGTCCTGCATGTTTTCCAGCATTGTTTATACCTCATTTTCTACAGATGACAAACAGGAAGCAGCTGTTATCAAAGGCCAGAGGAGTAGATATTTCTTGACACATTAGAAATCTCTCAAGCAGGGGTGTCAAACTCGATTTCATTGAGGGCCACATCAGGGTTGTGTTTGTCCTCAGGGGTGTGGCCAGGGTGGATGTGGCCAGGGTGGGCGTGGCCAGCTGGACATCAAACATGTTGGGGTGTCTATGCTGACCTGGGCAGGGCCGGGGCAGTGATGGGATTCAAAAAAATTTACTACCAGTTCTGTGGGCGTGACTTGGGCATGGTGTGTCTTGGTGGGTGTGGCAAGGAAAGGATACTGTAAAATCCCCATTCCCTCCCCACCCCACTAACCTGCTTTCCAGCTCTGTTCTCCTGTGCAGGGCAACAAAAGAAGACCCAGCCGATCAGCTGGGACTCAAGAGGCAGAGAATAGATTGGGGCAGGGCCAGTAAGAAGTGGTATTTGCTGGTTCTCCAAACTACTCAAAATTTCTACTACCGGTTCTCCAGAATTGGTCAGAACCTGCTGAATACCACCTCTGGGCTGAGGGAGGGGATCCATTGTCTCCAGCGGAGAAAGGTGAGACCAGAGAGAGGGCCAAACCCTTGTCATCCCTCTCAGGCCATGAGGAGGACCCCCAGATGGTGGCGCAGGTTGTCCAGAGCCCTAGGCAGCAAAGGGCAAGTGCCCAGCCTGGCCTTCGAGCTCCCAGGACAGCGGGACCCCACAGCCCAGCTGGCAGAGGCACTGCAGGACAGTCCTTCACTGTATCCAGGGCAGCCCTGTGGGCCGGATCTAAGCACCCAGTGGGCTGGATCTGGCCCACAGGCCTTGAGTTTGACACCCTTGCTCTAACTGCAAAAAAATGACACATGTGGAAATCCCTTTTATCACATCTATGTAGATGATTCCAGGGAGGGTCTGGATTAGGCAATTACTCTGCCTCGTACATGGAATACAAGAAATAATCCAGATAACTTCATGCACCATTTCTAACCATATTGCATTTCTTACCCTTTTATCTTTTTCTTTCCTAAACACAATTCCAATATGCAGGAAAAAAGACATAGCTATACTGTGCCTTCTGAATGTTAAGCAATAAGAACTTTAACTCTATTTGAAAGCATTCAATGGGCCATAAGAAAGTACAACAATAAACCTGTGACTTCTACTTGCAAGCCCTTCTGTTCCTCGAAGGCTTGATTAACAGTCAGGTTGTATTCCCTGAATAACATGTATTCTCGCTCCTCAGATTTTAACCTGGTATCCCATGATGAATCTGGCCTCTACTATAGTCTTACCCTTGCTGACACCTGCAGCTATTAATTTGCTCATGCGCTCCTTGAATTCTGATGAGCAGATTATTTGGAAGAAGTTGGGAACTGCTTGGAATCAAACCAGGTAAGAGTTGTCAAGCCCTGTGCAATAGGTTTGGTTCTATAATGTGATAAGAAACTAGGTCAAATGAGAATACCAGCCATTGCACGACTTACTATATCCAGAGCATCATACAAAGCCACTGCCAAAGGTAGCAACATGGACTTTGGGTCAAATCTAGCAGGATTGTTCTTCATTGAAATTATCCCTGTTAATCCATGGTAAGCCTGCATTTTGTTCACTGTATAATTTTCAATAGCCCTGTCGTTCAAATGGATTTGTAACAAAAATTCTGAAGGAAACACCTTGAAAATCTGGCTCTATTATAGATTGATCCACATTTTTATTACTCAATAAGTTGTCTTCTTACTCACAGGGAAGAATTTCCAAATGGACAATCCCTCCCTCCCTATATACCCGTATTTTCAGATGGATGGATACCTCCCAGATTTACTTGGAGATCCAGCGATATGGCTCAGGTGAGTCACTCCTGAATGGTAGCCAACCACAGGCAGAGCAGAAGTAATAGAGAGCCACCCTATGGGGAGCAGGTGGCTGGCTATGAGTTTCTAAAGTAAATGCAGAATCTTGCCTGCTCTATACAAGGTCAGCACAGAGGCATCACAAATAGCCGATTTTTTTTTTTACAGTTTCATATATTGTTCAAGGGCAATGTTAATTCTCATGGCAGTGCTCATGTAGCAAATGATCATTATATTTCTGCCCATCTTTACAGTTCAGATGTCCTGTACTTGGTGCCTACAGATAAGGAGAACTGCAACTCCCAGTATCTTGGGATGGATGCTCATGGATGCAGTACAAGTATTGCAGTGTAGGCCTTATAGGAGCTGAACTCCAACCTATTTGGAGAGAACCAGGTTGCCATAATTTGCAAATCAGTAGGTCAATTAGCAATTGCAAAGAAAAAGCTTATTATACCATCAAAATGCAAAGTCTGCTATTGCATACAAATGCATTACTAACAATGCAATTATCCAGCAGATAAAATTGTATTGCTACTACCAACAAAGTGGATTCCTATGTAGTTCAAATATGTAAGCAAATATCACTATTGTCATTGCTTACGTTTGAAGCCATTCGTTTATTAAAACATTGTTTAATGTGTACTTATCATTAATTTCACTTAAAGTAAGCTGTATTATTTTCTTTTAGGCAAATGGAACCCAGAATAATTCCTCAGATGGGTATGTTCTCTTACCAGACTTTTTAGTGGATATATAGGAAATATCCCTGGGGAATGAAACTTACGTATGTGACCATATAGACATTATTTTGACTAATAGAAAATGGCAGATAGAATTTCCATGCATCAAATTCAGAAATTGCATTCCATGCAGACCTACTCAAGTTACACTGGCAGAAATACAATGAGGAATTAGAGAGTAGCTAAAATTCTGACAAAAGTATTATGGACAAAGCTTTCATAGGAGGAGGGGGAGGAGTTTATTGTGAGACCAATAATAATAAATCAAATATATATATATATGTTACTCAACTCCCAGCAATTCTGGGTGGTTTACAGTTGTTTAAAATATTTAAGAACAAAAAGTCAATGCAAAAATACCACAATACAAAAATACCATACAAGATACAATACTTTTGAATTTTATTGAAATTATGTTTTTCTTTAGCATACTTATCAGCATGCTCATCTTTAAGGTGCCATGTTGTGGCTTTTGCTGCAACAAATTAACATGATTACTTCTCTGAAATTGGCATAAAAGAACTAAAGAAAGAACTAAAGGAAGAAATAGGAGCTTAAGTATCAGAGCCCTACTGCTAGAGTTGCTTTAGTGCAAAAGAGCTCCATAATATTCTCAGCTGCCAGGTGTGCTACCTTAGGGAAGTGGGAGTCACATTACTCAAATCCTGTAAAGGGCCCCACTCCAGCTGAGGCGTTTGGCCCACATTTGCAGAATCTAGTAGACATTCCATCACAAGAGCCAAATGCATAGGTATAGTATAGGTAGATCATGTAGAGACAAGGAGACAAACTCTTTTCAAGAGAGTCCTTTACATCAACAAGGAAGAAGGAAGAGCAGGCTGCTCTTCTCCCAGACTTTTGTTCTCAAGAGCAGATTTATTTCCTTTTCAGGACTTCCAATCCTCCCCAACTCATGCAAGCCATAAGTGATTTCCATGCACGGAATTCCCAAGAGCTCACTGTAAGAAAAGGAGACCTGTTAGAGGTAAGACCGAAAATCTAGTAGGTAAGCAAGCATGGTGCTCTTCACCAAAAAAGCTGCTGTATGGCATCAAAAGCTATCTCGCTTTTTTACATAAACACCATCAAAGCAATTAAAGTCTAATCAAGACTAGGAAAGAGAGCAAATTACACCAAAGTATTTTGTTCTAAGCAGTATAAAAGACCAAAAAGAAAAAGAAAACTAAAAGGAGAAGGTAGTTCTAATAATAATTCTTAATAGAAAACAGTCCATCTAGCTAGTTCACATCATTAAATAAAAGCAGAACTGAAGACTGGAATAGCCATCTTTGTCTAGAAGTCATCAATGCTGCAAATGATTATCATTGGCTCTTGAGCCAGAAGAACCTGAAAGGAACAGTGTGTAGATTTTAAAATCTGTAACTTTAAGTTATGTGGACTTCTGTAGACCTTAGCATGCCTTTTACCCAAACTCCAAACTTTTCTTCATAACCTTTTTCCAACAGTTTCCCTATAACAACATTTTCTTAACATTTATTGCCATGCATCATGAAACTTGACAGTCACACTAGTCTTTCTGAACTGGTACTAATGGCACAGGAATCATCTTTATTTATGTATTTATTTTAGAAAACATACCCGGCCACCCATCTAGGCAGCCCATGGCAACAACAGTACAATAACATGTAATTTTAAAAAAATCCAAAACAAGAAATGGTGCCTGGCCTTCTTAAACAACACTCCCCAACAACAATAATAACAATACTGGGGTCATTTTTTCTACATTCTACAAGGCTAAACCTTGAACACTTTTCTTTTTAATAAGATTCAGTATTGAGTTCCTTAGACTATCCAGAGTTATCTCATATATTCTTTATCAAAGATATATTGATGAAGAACAGACAGTATGTTATGTATTCTTTTATGTTATATCTCACATCTTGTTCACCAATTGCTCATATCTTCTTCATCAATGATTTAGATGAGGGATAGATAGGGAATAATCAAGTTTGCAGAAGATACCAAGCTGGCAGGAATAGCCAACACTTCAGGAGATAAGCTTAAGATATAGAAGGGTCTTGACAGACTTGAACATTGGGCCCTAGCTAACAAAATGAAATTCAATGGTGAAAAAGTAAAGTTCTGCATTTAGGCAAGAAAAACCAAATGCATAGGTATAGTATAGGTAGATCAATAGTAGTAATTGTGAGAGAGATCTTGGAGTCCTAGTGGACAATTATTTAAATATGAGCCAGCAGTGTGCTGCAGCTGCCCCAAAAGCCAACACAGTACTAGGCTGCATCAGAGGGATAGAATCAAGATTACATGACATATCAATACTACTCTATAATGCCTCGGTAAAAGCACACTTGGTATACTGGATCCAGTTTTGGTTGCCACAATATAAAAAAGAGACTCTACAAAGAGAATGGAGAAGAAGAATAAAGATGATTAAGGGACTGGAGGCTAAAACATACAGCAATACCAACAGCATTTAGACTTATATAGTGGTGGGATTCAAAAACTTAACAACTGGTTCTCTGCCCTAATGACTTTTTTCAACAACCAGTTCACCAAACTGCTCAGAAAGTTAATAACCAGTTCTCCCGAAGTGGTGCGAACTGGCTGAATTCTGCCACTGGACTTATATACCGCTTCGCAGTACTTTGCAGCCCTCTCTAAGCAGTTTATAGAATCAGCATATTGCCTCCAACAATCTGGGTTCTCATTTTACTGACCTCGGAAGGATGGAAGGCTGAGTCAACCTTGAGCTGGTGAGAATTCAATTGCCAAACTGCTGGCAGTCAGCAGAAGTAATCTGCAGTACTGCATTCTAACCACTGCGCCATCACAGCTCTTGAATATAAAGCACGGTTGCTGGAATTGGGTATGTTTAGTTTAATGAAAAGAAGGACTAGAGGTGACATGATAGCAGTGTTCCAATATCTTAAGGGGTTGCCACAAAGAAGAGGGAATCAAGCTATTCTCCAAAGCACCTGAAGGGCAAGACAAGAAGTAATGGGTGGAAACTAATCAAGAAGAGAAGCAATTTAGAATTAAGGAGAAATTTCCTGACAGAACAATTAATCAGTGCACCAACTTGCCTCTAGAAGTTGTGGGAAGTTTTTAAGAAGAGTTTGGGCAACCATTTGTCTTAAATGCTATAGGATATCCTGCCTGAACAGGGGTTTGGACTAAACCTCCAAGATCCCTTTCAATTCTGTTATTCTGTTAAATTGAACTCTTCTATTTTTTAGATTTTGGATCAAAGAAAAAGATGGTGGCTTGCCAGAAATGCCATGGGGGAGAAAGGCTATATTCCTAATAATATTCTGGAATCTAAGAATCAGTCAGCATCTAAAGAGCACAATCCAGAGCAAGTGGGTACAATTTTCTGTTGCATCATGTGGCATTGCAGGGACAGATTATTTCACATAATCACTTCTCCCCTTCTGTATAAAATTGAAGCAGCTTCTATTGGCAATGTGATACAAAATCAGAAAAAAGTTTGTGTTCTCTGGGAAAGTGGGCATCTCTGCATACTTCATTGGAACCAGCTGTTTTCTTCAGACAGAATTGCTCTCATTTATATCTCATTGGAAGCCCACATACTGAATTCTTCTTAATATCCAGCTTATGAATAATCCTGAATTCTGATTGTGTCATAAAGATAGCTGCAAATTCATGGAGGAGGAATAGCATGAAGTCTCATCCCAACTGTTTAGGTTTTTTGGAAGCATCACAGAATTAAAACTGAGAAAAATAATTTGGTAATTTAGTGAAAGCAGACATACTCAATCTGCTGTACTGATGTGAAAACATGGAATTGACTTATGCTAAATATAGACAACACATTTGAAGCATCTAGCAGCAGCACTTAGATATTTGAGATTACTGTAAATTTGTATGTGTTATATTTTCACATACACCACCCACTGAGAACTAGAACTGGAACTAACAGGGAGGACAATTAACCAGTGGAACATCTTGCCATCAGAAGTTGTAGGTGCTTCATTACTGGAGGTTTTTAAGGGACTGGACAGTCACTTGTCTGAAATGGTATAGGGCAGGGGTGGGATTCAAATTTTTTAACAACCAGTTCTGTGTGCGTGGCTTAGTTGGTGGGTGTGACTTGGTGGTCATGTGACTGGGTGGACGTGGCTTGGTCATCATGTTACTGGCTGGGCATGGCCAACTCAACATCACTCACATTGAGGCAGGCATCTCCTCGCCTGGCCTCTCATGACTGTGGGGATACTGCAACAGTCGTAAGGGTGAAAAACGGTCATAAGTCACTTTTTCAGTGCCATTGTAACTTTGAATGGTCACTCAACACAAGCAAAGTACCAGCAAAGAAGGGGGAAAAAATTCCAGAGAAGTTCCTGAGACAGGAAGTCTAGTCCTGCCAAGAATGTAATAAGGATTAACAGAAAGGCAGTTTCTGTAAGCAACACCAGAATGTTTCCTTCCTGCCTTCCTTACAGGATTAGGCCAGTAATTTCTTCTAATAACCGGTTCTCTGAACTGCTTAGAATGTTAACAACCGGTTCTAGCAAATAGGTGCGAACCTGTAGAATTCCACCCCTGGTATAAGGTTTCCTGCTTGAGAAGGGGGATGGACTAGACCTCCAAGGTCTCTTCTACCTCTATTCTAATTGACTAATAGAAGGAAAATTTCAGATCCTCAAATTTGCAGCCATTTATTAGAAAATAAGATTGAGATCCAGCCCAGTTGTTGAGACTTATTTACTGTAATTACACTTATTTCTAAATAGGTAGGCCTTTAGAAGTTTGAGCAAGTGATATCCTTTTTTCCTCTGAATCATCTTGTTCCTGTTGTCTCTGTATACAGGTTTCAACACATTTCACTGATATCCAGCCAAGTTCCTCACCAGCAGAAGTCACAGTTTGGCTCAGGACAAAAGGTTTTTCCAAGATGTAGGTGTCATTTTAATAACTAGTCCAAGAAATCTGATTTTGGTCATGACTGATTTGGTTGTTCTAATACTTTATATCCGTGGGATGAAGAGTTTTTTTTAAAAAAATTGGTTTGTCAATTGCTTACGAGATAATAGGTATAAGTAAAAACATAGTTATTAATACATGGATACATATAAGAAAAATAAAAGAAACAATAGGACAGGGACGCTTATGCACGCTCCCTACAGACCTCTTAGGAAAGGGGTGAGGTCAATAGTAGACAGTCTAAGGTTAAAGTTTTTGGGGTTTGGGGAAGAAACCACAGAGTCAGGTAGAGTCAGGTAGAGTATTCCAGACATTGACCACTCTGTTGCTGAAGTCGTATTTCCTGCAATCAAGGTTGGTGAGATTAACCTTGATTTTGTATCTATTGTTTGCTCTTGTATTGTTATCGTTGAAGCTGAAGTAGTCGTTGACAGGTAGGATATTGCAATGTATGATTTTATATATTATACTTAGATCGGACCCAAGGGATTAAGAGTTGTGTAGAGTAGTAAACTCCTTCTTCACTTTCAACTGTTTAGTCCCCTGACATGTAACTTTCCTACAGATGTACTGCAGCTACTAATCCCAGAAATCATACTATCACTATGACCAAAGATGTCCAGTTGGAGATATAATTCTAGGTGCTGACAGATTACAGAAACTGTAGGTGTAAATTTGCTTTTAAGCAAAAATAGAGGAAGGCGAATATGACAATGCTAACTTATACAGGAAAGACCAGATTCCACATTTACAGTCAAGCACAAAAAGCTCACAGATCAAGTGTCAGAACTAGAAAGGGCCATGTTCCAGTTCTCAGTCATGCAGCCATTTTCAGCTCTAACTACACAGAATGGTTGAGAAACGCAGATTGTTGATTTTCAACAATAAAAAGGATGCACTGTAGCATGGCCCAATAAATAAAACATATAGAATCAGGTCCAACCCTGCTTTCTTCTTCAGAAGTCCTCAAGCGTGGCTGATTTGACTACATATGTGCCTTTTGGTTATTTCAACAGCACAGTTAAATCCCTCGGCATCTTAAATGGTAGACAGCTACTGTCGATGAGCCAAGAAGAACTGAAAATGGTCTGCCCGGAAGAGGGAAGAAAAGTATTTTCAATGCTTGCAGGAGTTAAATCTCCACTGTAGGTAAGACAATGTCTAAATCTTGATCATCAATTCAATCTCAGCATACCTCCTGGAAAAATACAGTATCCTACCATATTGTCAATGACACTTTGTACTGGAATTCAGTCTCCCTCTTTTTTTCAGTGACACCACTGAATGAAGGAACAACTAAAACTGTTCTGACCAAGGCTTCCCGAGAACATAATTAAGCACATGCTTATTTAAAACAACTCTTGTTTTATTTCAACGCTGGGAATTATGTTCATTCCCAGCCGGTAATGAGTCCCAAACAGTCCCTTTGAGATAAGCACCCACCTTTCTTTCCTTTGAATTGCTGCCAACAGCTAGAGTGCCAAATGAATTATAAAAAACCAACCGAAGTACAAAGTCCACACAGAGCTTCAAGAATGAATCTGAACCAAACAAACGACTTTGCTTCCTGCAAAGGTTTCATCATCTTTGCCTGTCCTTTATACCTTATGGGAGGGGCAATCACCTCCCAGACTTACTCCCGAGTTGCCCCTTTTGTTTCAGCTGCTCTTGACTTCTAGCAGCTCTGCGCAGACACGCACTGGGAACAGGCTCCCCTGGTTTCTCTGCCTTGCTGCTGCCAGGCTCTGGAGGCTCCAGAGTCAGCACACTAGTCCCAGATGGTCCTGGCCCCATCTCTGCATTGGACGCAGGACCCTCATCCGAGTCCTCTCCAGATTCCCGGACTGGTCCCTGTTCTTCCCCACTGTCCGATTCTGCTGCCGTCTGCACAGGCTGCCGGTGAACCACAACAAAAACATTCATTGTCAGGACTGTTTTGGATTTTTATCTGATCAATACCATAGACAGGAGATGTCCATTCAAAAAGGAATTGGCCTCTAAAGCCCACCAGCGATTTGGCAGATGAGACCTTCTGCCAATGGAATGGACTCTTTTGGGGAGCATTGTGATGGTGGTGGTGGGAATTAAAAGAAAGATGTGCCTTAACAATAAGCACATGGTCCTCATTTCCCCCACAGAACAGCAGGATTTATATATTTGTTTGTTTGTTTATTATTCATTTATTCATTCAATTTATGAGGGGACCTTGGTGCTCTCTGAGCTTGGTTGTCTTCTTGCAGATGTTCCCTTAGCCAACTAGCTACCTAGTTTGGATAATGAAAAGAGAGCACAAGATCCCTCATTTCAACCCTGAGCTACAAGTATTCGTTTATCAGCATTCAGTTTATGTACCCACATGTCTCTCATCATAGTCATTCTAGATAGCTAGGAGCAGTTCAAAAAAGTCACAAAAATTAAGTACTTTACCAGCACCTATGATGAAAACTTAACAAGCAGCAATTAAAATAACCACATCAAGGACATTCAAAAGCCTCTGCCCGGGAACGCACAGGGCTTGCAAATGGCCAGCCGGGAATGGTCCTGCAGAAAGTTGGGTATTTTGTTTTTGTTTTTGCTTAACACATCCGAAACAGAAACAGGGTAAAGTACTTTGATTTAACCATCCAAAGATGGCTACAAAGATGGTTTGGCATCATTCTATGCACATGTAGGTTACTCCATATTCCTTGTTTTTTTATATATTTAGCTAAGAAAGATATGATACATTAGCACATAATTTTACTTCATCTATAAGGAAGTCTGGTTGCGTAATTTAAAAGAACAAGGCTCAGTTGTTATAAATGCACTCTTACATGCAAATCATGAGATAGTCACACCAAATGCATAATTTAACACGGGATCTTTTTTGCCATTCATTTCCCAGCATCTTACTCTTAATATCACAAACTCATGAGATAGTGTTGTGAAAGAAAATTGTACAATAAGCACAAGGGATCAAAGAGTAATATTCCGCTCGCAATGTTTTATAAGCAGACTATTGCAAGAGAATGACTGTTAAAGAGAAGTGAGGCAGCTTGAATCCAACCTTAGATATTTTCTAATCAGGGGTGCTATTGTACTTTCTGTCAAGGATACTTCTATCTAAATAATTGTAGTACAAAAATGGGCTCTAAAATCTTAACCTTTCTTCAAAGATAACACTTTCATTGTTCTGATGAAGAAGCATATATAGTATTCTTCCAGATCAACTATTTATCTTGGGGAAAAAAGTGATACAATATATATTTTTGGAAAACTGAAAAGTTATTTCATGTGCAAAGCAGCAAAACACAAAGCAACCATTGGTAGATTTCTAGATTTAGGGTACTCACTTGTTTGAAATTTACTAAATGGCCTTATTTAGTCTCTATTATTAAGCACACCCACCACAATATTGCTAGGGGAATAAAAGTGTATTTACTTCCATACAGTACATAATCCTGAGCTCTTCAAGAATGTGACTTAAGCCAGAGTTCCCCACAGGTTGGGGAATTGCAGAATAGTGAATTCTGAATTCACATAATACCAAGGTGAAATTAATCATATCCCATTGTAATTTTCCATTAGGTTGGTATAATTTTTTTTTAATGGCTAGTTTTTCTAAGTTAGGGTTTGATCTCTGTGCTTCTCTTCACAGTAATGGTCCTCAGCGTTAGCGTTTGCACATCTCCCAAACCATTTCATCATTTATTTTGAAGAGATCATCACTGCATCAATGGCGCAACTCACTGAAAATGTTATTAGCTGCATGGTAATCTTCAGTCCACTAATTTTCCAGTTAGCTTGTAATTGCTGTGTTTAATAATAGTCTTCAAGAGGCTTTAAGATGCTTCTGTAAATGCTGTAGCAAGTAACATGCTTACCATTTTTGAATGATCTCAGGAACATCTGTAAAGGGCTGTTATTACAGTGGTGACATGCTCTTCTATTATTGGACTATGGCTTTCAGGATAGGGATAATAGCACTAGCACTTAGACTTATATGCCGCTTCACAGTGCTTTGCAGCCCACTCTAAGCAGTTTAGTCAGTATATTGCCACCAACAATCTGGGTCCTCATTTTACCAACCTCGGAAGGATGGAAGGCTGAGTCAACCTTGAGCCTGGTGAGAATCGAACTGCCAAACAACAGGCAGCAGCCGTCAGCAGAAGTAGCTCATAGTACTGCATTCTAACCACTGCACCACCACGGCTCCTCTTAAGAGTATTCACCTACTTTCCAACTTTCATCATTAGATGCAAACATACTTTAGGACAAGAAAAAATTGCTTGGAATTAGAAGAGTCAGGTTGTTCATTCCTTATGATGCTCTTTCACGCTTCTGCATTAGAAATGAAGAAAATTATGTATTTACAGGTTGAAATATACCATTTTATGAGTATATTATGAATATGAGTATATTGAGTTTTCTTTAATTTCTCCATTAGTCAGTTTAGAAATACTTTCACTGGTTTAGGCTAGAACATGGTAGAGAAGTTAGACAGAAAAATGAAGTGATTGTTTAAAAAATAATCAATGAACTTCCCTTCTATGAAAGTAACTGTTTAATTCCAAATTGTGCATGTGTATTCATGTGATATTAATCCCAGGATTTGACAGCTTGTAACTTTTGGATTTGCAAAAAATATTGGACAATTGACTCATGATTCAATGTTCAGGAATGTACTTTAAATAAATCAGAATTCAGTTTTCTAATGCTGCTGTAATGTTAATCTAACTTATTTTGTTTAATCGAGCTTATTTAAATATTTCTCATATACAATGGAAAATAAAATTAGAAGCCTTTTATATTTCTTCTGTGCTGTTCTCATTTTAGCCAAAGGCCAACAGCCAATCAGCTTTGAGCAGACATGAAAGCAGTTCTTCATAAAGGCACCTTCATGTGAATTACATAAAAACACAGAGATAAAACAGGAGGTGTGAGAGACTAGAAGTCAAAAATATGTGAAAGTGTACCAAACATGACAACATTACCAAGTAATTCCAAGATACTTTATTGAGCACTACTGCATTGCAAATACCTAAACATCTGAATCACAATTCTACAGAAAGATCATTTTTTTTCTTATCAAGAAAAAGAATGGAGAAAAGGGGGGAAGTATCTCATCCAGCAACAAAGATGTTTTTTTTACTTTATGTTTTCTTGTTACCCCATTTGGCCATCTTATTGTTAATTGGAGTTTTCATAAAGCGGCTAGAACTCATGTAAGCAGCAATTTTCTCCAGGGCCTGAGGATGCAGACAAAATAAATATTTAGATCGAGAGAAGCTGTTAAATAGACCAAAAGCTCAAGTCATAGTCCTACCAACCACCCAATAAACCCACCATCCAGGTAACCACTCTCATTTCTTCTACACTAAAAATACATTTTAGTTCAGGAGTCTCCAACCTTGACAACTTTAAGCCTGGCAGACTTCAACTCCCAGAATTCCCCAGCCAGAATTCCCCAGCCATGGGGAGTTCTGGGAGTTGAAGTCGGCCAGGCTTAAAGTTGCCACGGTTGGAGACCCATTTTAGATGAAACCACATTAATGGAGTACCCTCCACATGCCTTTTCCCTTCAACCTCCGCTGCCATGCCTGGTTGGGAAAGATGATGGGGATGAAGTCCTGTCAGTTAGGGCAGGGGCCCCCAATCCCCGGGGCCACAGAAGTGGCCGGCAAGCACGAATTCATCCTCACTTGTGCAAGTAGAGGGGGAACATGTTGCACATGAGCTCCAAACAGAGCTGCATGCATCCCCTCCCCACACTCCCCCCACCCACCCCCCCAAAGCTAGAAAGCTTGAGGAACTCTGAATTAGGGAATGTTGCTAGATTTAGTGCCAGTTATATTTTGCTTTCCACCTAGAATTGGAGGGGAAACCTTTGTTTCGTTTTGTATAGTTACTCATTATTTTAAATCCAAAGTCTTGGGGGGGCTTAGGGAGAGCTAGAAAAGAACTGCATTTACACAGGTGGCCGGTAGATTTTCCACCTGCACCTTCTGAAATCATTCAGTTATGGTACTCTGTTTTACTTATCACACACGTATACCAATTATGAGTTTTGCCACTCGGTGGTAGACTTTAAAATCCTTGCACCATTTAGCAACCAGTACATCATAGGAAAATGTACATTAAATAAAAGTATGGAAAGGAATCTACCACCAAGTCTTCAGGGGATTATTTCGTATACTAAAGGGACAGGAGTGGTATTTTTCATATATTTCAGATGTTTATTTTTCATATATATCAGGATGGTATTTTTCATATATTTCTGCCCATGCCAATTTGGGCATCCAATCTAGCCAAAAGATTAATCTGTCAGTTCTTGCCAAAACCCACAAAACTAAGTCACAAAGTCCACAAGCTAGCAAATTTCACAAAGCCAAAGCTAACCTCAAAACGGGTCAGAAAATCTTGAAGATTCTTGAATTGATCAAGGCACTTGGGTTCAAACATGCGGTTTTGATCAAGTACATCATACATGAGAAAGTCCACAAATGTGATCTGTGGGGAAGAAAATCAATAGTGAGTTACCCAAAAGATCAGACCTGCCCAGAGATACCCAGGTATGGCTATGCGCGTACCTTATCCCCAGCAAACCACTTTCTATCCCCCAAAAACTGGGAGAAGAGTTTCAGTTTCCCTGGTAACTGCTCCAAATATCCAGGCTTGAGTTTCTCCTGCAGAACAAGCAAGCAGAAAAAAACTGAATTGAAACTGTTGCTTGTTTCTACTCAACAGTTATGGAATTTGACATGCTCCATCCAAGAACCATCAGAGGAAGCTCCTTACATTCTGATGGCATGACAGTATATTTGACAGTATCTTTGGATCACATAAAATATATTCCTTCCAGTCCAACCACTTCAGCAATATGTGCAACGTGAGCAGGAAGGATTAAAATCAATTGTTGCAAACATAATTCATATCTATACAACAATTATACTGAAAAGTGAAGGAAAACTATTTTGCATTTTAACCTCCAGAGAGCTAGTTGACATGTTTATTATTTGGAGCATTATGCAAACACACAACACAATTCCTCTATGCAGATATTCAGATACTGATTTCAAATATCAGCAGATATCTAAGTTTAACATGGAAGTGTGTGCAAAGATCAATATCATGAACTGGAAGGTTTATATTTGTAGGTTTCACATGTAGACCTTTCCAAATTCTTTAATGCCTGAATACAGACAATAGCCCTTAAAAAAAAAAACCCTCTCCATCTTGATTCCCAGAAAATTGACACAGATATTGACACATGGTATCACTTTTATACACTTGCCACAAGATACTTTCAGAGACACACCCAGTAATTATGTCTTCTATATTATAATTGGATCCGGTATTTAGTTTGTACAGCATTACATGGCATCAGTTCTCCATTCCCATTTACGAGAAAATGGAAATGAAGGTGACTCAACTTACAAAGTCAGGATTGTAGGAAATCATCACCAAGGCCATACGGAAATCCATCACCTGATTCTCCAGCATGTCCACTCTGATAAGTTCTTCCTCAGTTTCACCACCTGCAGATAGTATAGGCAGGGGTGTCAAAGTCAAGGCCTGGGGCCCAAATCCGGCCCGTGGGGTGCTTAGATCTGGTCCTCGGGGCTGTCCTGGAAATAGTAAAGGACCAGCCCATGGTGCCTCTGCCAGCGAAAATGGAGCTTGGGAGGGCTACGCATGGCCCTCCCAAGCGGTTTTCTCTGTCAGAGGGTTGCAGGAGGCCATCCCAGCTGAAAACAATGCTGGTGAGGGCCGTGTGTGCCCCCCCAGCCCCATTTTTGCTGGCAGATGTTTGCAGGAGGCCATTGCAGCCGAAAACAGAGTTTGGGAGCCAGTTTTCACTGACAGAGTGCTTGGGCCACCATAGGCACCTCCAACACAAGTGATGTCATGCTGGCCACGCCCCCCAGCCACACACATCCCCCAGGTCAAATACAGCCCTGATGCAGCACTCCATGAAATCGAGTTTGACACCCCTGGAATAGAAAGATGAGAAATGCTGGGCAGCAGAAACAGGTCTTAATCAGCCAGTTCAGCTTCCAAAAGAGCTCAGGTTATACGTACACAGATGGTGCTTGCGTGCGATGTACCTGAGAATAGCATTACTCTGTGTCAATTTGGTCTTGCCATCAATTAAGTATGGAAGCTGGAAAATAAACAGAATGAACTACTTAAGAACAAACCTTTGCAATATTAGGCTTTCACATGATTGATCCCCATCAGCTATCCTCTTTATTCAAGTCCTCATATATGAATACCATAGAAAACAGCAGATTAAGATATTCTTCCAACTATTATACATATAGTTACTTACATTAGGGAAGTCCAGCCCCAATTTTTCTTTTTCACTGATCCATTTACTTTTATCATAATCAGGAGCTGGTAAGAAATGGGAGATAGAAAGTTCAGACAACCAGAAATTTCAAATCAGATGCAGTTTACCTTTCACTAGAAAAAAGCAATCAATTTTAGAAAATGCAAAAAAGTGCGTGCTTTTCCTGACCCAGTTATAGCAAGTACTATACCAACTGCTGACAAGTTTAGGCAAACTTTTTGAATCCCCACTCCTCCATTACCTCAGCCATTCCATGATTGGTTGCATGATAAGCACAGCTTGGTAACTAATTAATCCAATTTTCGGAATACGTCCATTGCACTGAACCATAAGGTAATTAAATGGACTAGGTTTATATAACACAACAAATCACAAAACAAAAATTAACAGAGGTAAGCAATCCAAGCTTAGCATGCTATTAACAGACATTAAGTCTTCAGCTGGCCCAGTTAAATATATTGTGAGACTTCTGTGGGTCATCTTAATTCTCCGTTTCATACCAAGAATATTCCTCAGAACATCATGTAACATTCTACAAGTTGTTTCAAGGAAACAATTGGGCAAGATCAAGGCACATGAAGAAATCATTCTGCCCAGCTGCACAAATGGAAAACCCCATAAATATTTGGCACAATAAATAATTACAGTTGTTTTATTTCTCAGATTTAGATGTCCTATTTGAAAAAGAGAATTCGGTGCTGATGTAATACAGGGTGGCTACCAATAGGAACAGCCTGTTCAGAATTGCTGCTGTGATCCTACGATTCCCATCGACCCCCCCGCCCCCTTTCTTCCTATAAGCTTCTCAGGCTTCCCTATTGACTTGTGGGAAGATGTCAGAGAACAATGTAAACAAGGATCACATGACCACAACAGCAGCACAATGGTATCAAATGGCAAGAACTGTCCAAAATTTTATTCCCACAGGAATAATGGGTCCCAGCATCTATCTGTAAGTTAGCTCGTTTGAGGTACCTTGATTGAAAAGGTTTTGCCCTATGATACACCATTTCAGCCAGTTAAAAGTTGCAGACATGAAAGTTTTAGTAGTGTACAGATGGGATATACATGTGTATATGCTACCATGTTTCCCTGAAAATAAGAACCAACTGCAAAATAAGCCCTAGCATGATTTATCAGGATCCTCATAATGTAAGCCCTACCCCCAAAATAAACCCCCGTTAAGATTGTCAGCCAGATGGCCACATTTAGTACCATGTTTCCCTGAAAATAAGACCTAACCAGAATATAAGCCCCAATGGATCTTTTGGAGTAAAAATTAATTGGTCTTATTTTGGGGGAAACACAGGTAATATGCAATTCAATGCAAATGTTAGCTAAATGATGACCAACCAGGACCATTGCCTAAGAAATCATCTGGAGAGTCAATCAAAAACTAATTCTAGACATACATTTCATTAGATGGAGATCCAGAAGCTATAATCCAATATTGCAATGAGGGACCGAAGTAGAGAACACCAAAGCTACAAAGTAACTCCAAGTGCCAATCCTTTGTATTGTTTTCCTATACATTAAAAACTAATCTTTCTTGGATGTGTAAGCCCAACATCATATATAAAAGGTGGAAGGGAGGAAGCACCTCAAGCTATCACAGAATATCCTATAACACCAAAATCTCTCCCACATCTTTTAATACCTATCATACTAAGGTTGACCTGAAAGTAACTTGCAAGTAAAGGAAAGAAATCTTCCAGAGCAGTGCATGAGCATAAGTGCAAAAGAGCAAGGTTAGAGAGAGAAGGAATGGGAAACAGATAAGGCCCTCCAAGTAGAGAGAGACCAAGAATAAGCAGAGATAAATGGAGATATTCTCCTGGATTAGAAGCCTGCAGTTGTAACAATAAAGATTATGCAACATCCTTGACTTGCAACTTTCATTAGAAGATCACTATTATACTCAATAGGACTCACCTAAAGCCAGCTCAAGAGCATGACATGTGCACAATGCTGAACAAAATTATTATTTCTGCATGCTCCCCCAGTTATACAATTTTTGGCAGCAAATAGCTAAAGGGATAGGTATATTAGAATCATTTACTGATAAGGCACCCACACATTATTACGAGCCAGAGGTTTCCCTAATGAGATGACAATCTGGATGAACCCAGTTCTAACAGCAACATATTCCAAAAGAAGCTGCCTGAGATGATGAACAGATATAAGGAGACTGTTGTGATATCAAGGAAAATTTTCTAAAGTTAATGGCTTTGGAAAGAGGCCCATAATATTGCACTAGAGATATTATCTGGAAAAGTTCCAATACAACACTTGTATAACAGCCCAGCCTTCAATGAACAGCTCCATCCAATTATTGTGCGTACCACCCTATCTTAGGTAACTTAAGGAATGTCGAAATAATTTACTCTGCTTTTCTTCTACTCTAACCTTTTATATATTTGTGTTGAACAAGAATACATTTCTCACATTCTTGGGAATGCTCAGAAGCTAGAAATGAATGCAATTTCTTTTGAATGAAGAGCTGAGCTAATATTTACATTCAGTAAGTTATATTCACAGAAGGAAACAGGATGGAGTACAAATGAAATTCAGCAAGGCACACAAACCTTCTCCACAGCTGTATAACTTATCTTCATAAGATGTTCCTGTGTATTCAAGTAGCAATCGAATGCTATGGGCAAGCTGTAAAGAAAACAAGCAAACCAGCTATCAGATGGGTGGGGTAAAATTAACATTCTCAAGTATTTTTCACAAGATGTAAAGAGATGAGAGCCCGTTGAGGCAAACAGGGCCAAAAAATTGACCGTCGAGATTTCAGGAATGCTCTTTATTCTTACTGGGTAGAATAACAGGCACTTTGAAAGCCTCTGTCAAGATTTTCTCACTAATCCATCTCGTACCAAGCAAATCAAGGCAGTATATAGGTAATGGGAATTGAGTTAGTTAAGTTAGAATTGGGAACTGTCCCCTTAAGGGAATGCTTCATGGTAAATGTAGTTAATGCATCCTGGGAAATGTAGTTCATGTCATGTGGTCACATCTGTAATCCTGATTGGTCATTGAATTGACCCTGGGTTGGGGGAGGTTCCTTCACTCTTGCCTGGACCCCAGAAGTGTGCTGGTACTTTCATCCAATAACAAAGGAGCAAGGGGTACCCTTGCTCCTTTGTTATGGGATGAAAGATCACTATTCTTACACTATGAAGTCAGCTATGCAAAAAATTGGACATTAGATGGATCTCGACATAACTGTGAGTTATATTTGAGGATGCCTGGTGAACCAATAAAGAAAATTTGTATGGAAGCCCTTGTAGAGTTGTCTGTCTGTCTTTATATTACATATATACTTCTTTTCCTCTCTTTTGGCCCATCCACTCCTTCTAAAGGAAAAAATGCCTTTTGTTGTCCGTTATATACTCCATTTGCTGCCAGTGGAAGAGCTCCAAAACACGCCTCCTCCATTCTCCTCCCACACCTACGATAAGGTTACACAGCTTTATTGGCAACTCCCACCAAGTACACTCTAGGGAAAAGGTTCAAATGGAAGGGAAAGAAGGCAGCACCAGTTCCTGAAATTTGCTAAGCAGCCTGCTCCTCCACATTGATCTTCAGTTAAGATTACATTAAAACAATTCCTGTTCTCTGTACCCAGCATAGCCACACAGAATGACAGAAACTGTAGTCCAACTTATTTGGATGATTTCCATTTAGGCTGGATAATATTAGAGCCACTTGAGCAGGAGACTCTGCTACTGAAATCCTGTTAATGGTTATTTGAGCTCCTTCAATATTTTCCAATGCTTCCAACAAAACTTGTTTTTCTTTATCAATATAATTACAGGGGGAACCACGGAGAGCAATGGTTCAGACAGATGGTTTATATATCCTCCTACCATATCAGTACAAACAAGTGAAATTTCTGTTCCACACAGTTTAAACACATAGTAGTTCCCTTTTTTTACAATTCCATTGTATTCACACATAGCCAGGGCAGGCAAATCCTTGGGACCAGGAGTCACACTAAATGTCCTCCTTGGATAGCGGATTTTTTGTTGTGAATAAATAAAAAAGAAAAGGATTTCCTACTGACTTTAAGCTGTGATATTTGGAAGGCAGGAGGTAATTTAGAGTCTGGAAGTTTGATTGTTTATTCAAATTGCTTGAACTTCCCTTCCCACCCTTTATCTACGGGGCAGGAAAAAGAAGAGATAGATATTCCTCCGGGAATGATCACCTGATTTCATTGTGAAGACCCAAGTAGCAGGAGAAACGTAAAAAGCCATCTTGAAAACGTTAAATATGCTTTAACCGTGAACATTATCCTACCCCGCCACCTCCTTCCCCTCTGCACCGCAATTCCGGCAACGTTTATTTAGACCCAAACTGCCAATTTTACTCAACAGGTCGGGCACACCGCTCTCTTCTCCCGAGACAAAGGAAGGCGGGCGCGGGGAGAACAAAACCAGCTTCTGTCGGGCAGCGAGCGGGCGACCTCGGTCTGCAGGCGCAGGAGACTCAATTAGGCCTCTTCCCCCTCCCCCTCTCCCTCCCCCCAGAAACAAATGCCCGCGTGAAAGAAAAACCCAGCTGGTCTTGCAAGCAGCCAGGCTGGCAATGGCCTCGCTGGAAACCGGAGAAAGGCCAGGAGAAGCCCGACGGGACCCGCCGCCTCTCCTTCCCTTCGCCAGCAGGCAAAGAAAGGCCTTACTGGGGCGCGGGGAGGGGGAGGCCGTGGGGTGGGGGGGAATCTCCCCGTCTTTTCAAACGGAAGGTCTTGCAGGAGAGGCGGCCAGTTTCTTGCACGCCTCGGCTCCAACCTGGAGCCCCCGCTGGCATCGTCGGTGGGAGCAGCGAGAGAAGAGAGCAGCAGGTCTTTGCCCGTTTTCTTGCCCGAGCAACTCACCCCTCTAATGTCCCAGTAGCCCAGAACCATCGGCATGGCGCGCTCGCAGATCTTCGGCTCTGTAGCTAACACCGCGGACCGTGGGCTGTGCAGGCTAAAGAGGTAGGCTCCGTCTGAGAGAGGCTTAATAAACTGCTAACGCGCCGCCTCGGTTGCCAAAAGAGGCGGCGGCGGTGGAGGTTCGCCAAAGTGGGTGGGGTGGGCCGGCAGCAGGGTGGGCCCATAAGGTGCTTATGGGGTGGGCCCATAAGCAGAAGTGTCCATTGCGCAACTAGCCAGTGGTCTTTCGGGCGCCGCCGGCCCCTTCGAAAGAGCGACTTTTTGCTGAGTTTGGGTTTTGAGTTTGGGTGGAGTTTGAACGGCTCTTCTGAAATTTGCCCTCTTTTAAGTCCACTTAGATCCGGCCTCGGTAGTGGGCTAGTAGTACTTTGCAGGTCTGGTTGCATTGTGGAGATGAATGAGAAAGAGCGCTAACGGCTTCTAACATTCCCGAAACTGTTAACGCTTGCCTAACGCGAGGTCCAAAGTGCATGGACCGAGAAGAACTTTGAGCTCTGTCTGTCTGTGTGTGTGTGAGAGAGAGAGAATTCAGTACGAAATCCAGAGCAAGCAGAAAAGCCTGGTCCGAAGACTGACTAAATCACAGGTTTGGAAATTTGTCTGCGAACTGTGGCCACAAAAACCAAGATGGTGACCACGATGGTGTGAACTTACACAAAGGAGAATATCTGTAGCTCAGGATTGACATGAGGGGTCCTTGGTGCTCTCTGAGCTTGCTTGTTTTCTTGCGGACGTTTCATTAACCACACTAGGTAACATCATTATTAGTACTAACACTGATAATGTTATTAGTTTGGGTAATAAAATGTCTGCAAGAAAACAAGCAAGCTCAGAAACCACCAAGGACCCCTAGCAGTGTGGTCTAAATGCCACCCATGTTTATGTATATTTGGCGGTGTGGTGATCTAGTGGTGAAGAGGCTCACTTCCCACTTGGGAGTTCAATCCTAGGTAACAACAGATGCTTCTCTAGTTGGGTGCTAAGAAAAAAGTACCTGCTGTGAAGGCCACATAGGATCAGGAAGGGCATCCAGACAGCAAACGCTCACCTCCGTCCGGTCGCCCTGACTCTACCCCAAATTTAATAGACTAAAGAGTTATAAAAACAGAATATATATTTAATGCACATTAAAAAAAGAAGCAGAACTTAAGTTGCACCATTGCAGCCATTATCTTTTGCATAGCCTGAAGACATGCACTAACCAGGCTTGACTGTTTAGCATTTTCTAAATCAGAGTTGCTAGGTGTTGTCATTTAATATGACACTTTAAATAAAGGATATTTTCAAAATTGTTTTTACGGTATCTCATTTTCCCCACATCCGCATGATTCTACTTGAATAACAACAGCTGAAATGGAATCATCGATCCTTTGTTCTATCTTTTCATTTTTAATCCAAATGTCTATACAGTAGAAGTCTGGACTGCACACTTCTAAGACTTCACATGATCTAGATTCTATCCCTCTGTTAATGCAGCCTAGTGTGTTGGTGTTTTTGACAGCTGCACACACTGCTGACTCATATTTGAACATCCACTAGGACTCCCAAGATTCCTCTCGCAGTTACTACTGTTAGAATAGAATAGAATAGAATAGAATAGAATAGAATAGAATAGAATAGAATAGAATAGAATATTTTATTGGCCAAGTGTGATTGGACACACAAGGAATTTGTCTTGGTGTAAATACTCTCAGTATACATAAAGAAAAGGTACATTCGTTAAGAATCAAGAATCATACAACACTTAATGATAGTCATAGGGTACAATCAACAATCAAATCATACTTGGAATCAGTCAGGTGGGAGGGGATGGGTGATAAAGAGTGGTGAGAAGATTAACAGTAATAGTAGTGTACACTTTGTAAATAGTTGAACAGTGTTGAGGGAATTATTTGTTTAGCAGAGTGTTGGCTTTCGGGGAAAAAACTGTCCTTGTGTCTAGTTGTTCTGTGTGCAGTGCTCTATAGTTTCGTTTTGAGGGAAGGAGTTGAAACAGTTTATGTCCGGGATTTGAGGGGCCTGTAAATATTTTCACAGCCCTCTTTTTGACTCATGCAGGATACAGGTCCTCGATTGAAGGCAGGTTGGTAGTAATTGTTTAGGCAGTCCTAGACAGTCCTAAATTAGGCAGTCCTAATTATCCTCTGAAGTCTGTGTGTCTTGTTGGGTTCCAGAACCAAATCAGACAGTTATAGAGGTGCAGATGATAGACTCAATAATTCCTCTGTAGAACTGTATCAGCAGCTCCTTGGGCAGTTTGAGCTTTCTGAGTTGGCACAGAAAGAACATTCTTTGTTGTGCTTTTTTGATGATGTTTTTGATATTAGGTGTCCATTTTAGGTCATGTGATATAGTAGAACCTAGAAATGTGAAGGTCTCTACTGTTGATACTGTGTTGTCTAGTATTGTAAGAGGTGGTAGTATAGGAGGGTTTCTTCTAAAGTCTACCACCATTTCTACGGTTTTGAGTGTGTTCAGTTCCAGATTGTTCCACAAGGCAAGTTGTATAACCTCCTGTCTGTATGCAGATTCATCGTTGTCTCGAATGAGACCAATCACTGTTGTGTCATCAGCAAACTTCAGTATTTTAACAGATGGATCATTTGAGAATCAGTCATTGGTATATAGGGAGAAGTGGAGGTAGCACACAGCCTTGGGGGGGGGGGGCTGTGCTGATTGTACAGGTATCGGATGTGATTCCGCCTAGCTTCACCTGCTGTTTCCTGTCTGTTAGGAAGCTTATGATCCACTTACAAGTGTGTTCAGGTACCGCTAGTTGGTTTAATTTACTTAGAAGAGTGTCTGGAATGATGGTATTGAATGCTGAACTGAAGTCTATAAAGAGGTACCACCTATTCTATACCCGTGCATTTGGTTTTTCTTGCCTAAACGTAGAATCTTAACTTTTCTCACCACTGAAGTTCATTTCGTTAGATAGCGTTCAAGTCTGTCAAGATCCTTCTGCATCTTGAGCCTGTCTTCTGGAGTGTTGGCTATTCCTGCCAGCTTGGTGTCATCTGCAAGTTTGATGAGCACCGAATCTCTCCTCTCCTCTAAATTGTTTATGAAGCTATTGAAAGAGTACTGGGCTAAGACAGAGAGTTCTTTGAACTGGGGCGTTTTTTAATTCTTCTGTATCAACCTTCCCCTGTTCACTGGCACAGTCTGCCAGCAGTGTTGGTGAACAGTGTAAAGTGCTGTTCACCACTTTATACAATGTTTCACATGATTACAGTGAGGTTCATTATTTCACCATGTTTTGGCACAGAGCCAAAGATATGACATGGACTAAAGAGAACAAGCAAAAGGCAAACAACAAAAGGAAAGGAAAGGAAAGGAAAGGTGAGGGAAAGAGAGAGAGAGAGAGAGAGAGAGAGAGGAAGGAAGGAAGGAAGGAAGGAAGGAAGGAAGGAAGGAAGGAAGG